TATTCTATATAGAACTCTGTGAGATCGCACGCCTATGCTTAGCCCGTAAAGTGTGGAATTTAATTTGATAAATCTCTTATTGTGCGGACAGTAACGATAAACTAAAGTGAAACAAAGAAGAATTATGTTTATTTAAAAAATTAATAATCGGTCATTGGAAGAATTAGTATCATTTGAAGGTTTAAGATGTCCCGTGTACTCGTCAAACGCAGTTAACCGGTTAAAGATTAAAGAAAGCAAACAACTGTTGATCAGTATGGCGGTAAAACCGTAGAAAGCTTTTCCGACACCTAATAATTCTTTCATAACGAGTAACTTTTTGATTGTCGTACTCGTGCAATGGAGCGTTAGCGCCGGAGCTAGTCTCGGTCCAGCCGTTGTATTTCCGCCAGAACACTAAACACCCACTCGTCTTCAGCAGGATGAATCCATCGCGTATCTCCTGGCCTAACGCAGTTTTATCTCGCGGGAAACGGCTGGTCATTGGCCCACGTTATTCCTCTTTTAATATTGATCTAACAATCGTTGCCTTCAACATATCGCTCTTTAAATATTTCCTTGCCCGACTATTCTATTTATCGAGATTCCATATTAAGATGTCGCAGAAAATATAAAGGCGTTTATTTCAAAGAATTACAGACACAATATGCCTTTGCGACGAAGGAGAACGATTATGAAGATAGATATTACAAAATAAAATATGTACATAGTAAGGTTTTCGGATGCAACAATGAATAAATGAGTATATAGACTTAAACATGTCTAAGAGCGTTATAGAATGTACATTTATATTTATGAAATCGTGTCAACATATGTTTGTACCTTTTGGTAATTAAAATGATTTCCTACACATTTTTCAATATTTACATAGCAGCGTTCGAATATTTTCTTATTATCTCGTATGTGTATCCTTGATTATATAGCACCGAACGTTTTCTTCTAGAAGAAAAGAGAAAACGAATCTACAGATAATATCAAAATGTCAGACAACAATTCACTTGGCGCCCTTAGTTATTCGAACGTCGCGTTGCTTTGACAATGAGCTCTCTTAGATGAAAAGGAAATAAAAAGAAAAGCGGGAATGTTCCAACGGCGCGTCACTAAATTTATTCTTGGGCAAGCACGAACTTTATGAATTTTCCACGAATACTCATCTCGCATTCAGATGAGCGAAATGTAAGGGCCTCGGACGACCAATGATTCACAAATTGCCAACAGGAATAATCTGGAAATTTTCTGCTGTTTAATTAAATCGTATAAGCTAATTTTTTCACGATCCACACGAATCGGTACAAAAATCTGTCGTTTCGTTGACGAAAAGTTGTAACATTAAACATTGTATAGTATATTATATGCTTTTTAAATTCGAATTCGACACGGAAATTGATCGTTATGTTCTGTTATGTATTGGTTAGTTACGGTTAGAAACACGGTTGTATTGAAGTTTGATGAATTATAAATAGATTGGAAGAAAAACGGCGCATCATATGTAATTTATTACCAACTAAACTTTCTCGCTTGCTAACGTAACAAATCACTATTGCCATTTTGGACAGTGTCGCAAGATATTGAGTCTGGTATCTAAATACCTGTTCGCCAACGCACGAAGATGTGTCCACTTTGGTTACGAGTTGTCTGAGTAATCATATAAACAAGTATGATTGGATTTATTAAAAAATATTCAAATTGATGACCCTTTAATGGCCACGAATAAACGAAACTGTTTTATGTATTATAAGTGTATTATGTATCTTCACACAAAACAACATTTCCCCGTAATTCACAAAGGTTAAATTGAAAAATAAGGAAATTGCCTTGTTGCTGATTCTAATACGTTAATACTAAACACAAAACAGTATTGAATTTAATTCTGTTTCGTATTTCATTATATTCGACATAAAGTCGCAAAAACCCACAATTCGTTTATTACCATTGTTATTAATACATTAATTAAAATCTAACTAATTCCCCGAAGACAACAATTTATTATAAGTACGATACATAACTTTTACTGTCAAGAAATTCAAGGAACGATATCTTGAACTCAAAATGCAGAAATACAGACCTAATTTACCAACAGTTGCCATAAATAGGTGCATTTTGCGTCTCTTCCTTGTGTAAATTGAAATTTATGCATGGAGGTTTTTTGAAAATTTCCTCGCAACCTCTCGCTTCATGCATGATGTGTCAACCTAACCTCTCTACCACAGTTACCTAATAATATCTTTTATAGTCTGTTTTAGAATTTTACGGGATCATACCCGAGGCGATTCTCTATCCTATTTGTTCAGGTTACCGCCAATTAGGTCTCGCCTGATAAAAAACAACTCTGTCCTGTGTAAATTTTAATTCCAATTGTGAAATATTGAAAGTAATAACAAAATATGTTCAGGTGGCTTAAATTCGGGTCTGAAGATGTAAATAGTGTGCCAACATTGAATAATTCATTGTCGAGTGAGATGAACTTTTCATTTGAAGATTTTCAATGAACGATAACTCCTTGATTACGATATAACCCAATAAGATTATTAAAAACGGTGGTTACATGTACCACCTCAACGAAGAATTTCCACAGATGAGACACGTTTCCGTCACCGTGTGTGGGTGTATCAGTATATTAGTCGCAGAAAGACAGGGTCGAACGCGAATAACGTTGGAGCCCGTGGTTTAGCGGTCAGTTGGACAGGCTTTTTTACTTTTTACGCGAGATGCGATTCGGTTCGGTTTGGTCTTATAAATAGAAACGGGAGCACTTCAAATATAACTGGTATTTTTGTCGGCTAAGTGGTAAGAAATGCAAGTTTCAATGAGGAAAGCGTTGCGAAATGATTTTTCATTGAAACAATTACATTAGATTTATAAAAGAACGTTTTTTCTATTTATCTCCTTCCTTAATGTTGCCTTTGTATTACGATACAAAAGTGAATGTTAGAAATGACAGAAATTTGTTGAAAACCTGAGCAATAGCTACACGACTTAATATAATCTAAGTAATTAAATAAAGTGAAGTTTACCTTTGAAATTGCTTAAAAAATACGAGAAAAGTCATCTAAAATATTCCTACAAGAAATTCAGTTCTTCGATGGTGAAAGATTTTCGAAGCTAACGTTAAACTACAGTGTTAAATCTAGATCACTGGACTATAATCATTTCAGTAATATTCTTCAATATTAAATTAAGGTTACAAAAGAAACAAAATCTTCTTCGTTCCTTTACCAAATTAATAAATTAGGCTGCACAACAATATAATGAAATGAACTACATAAATAGTAGATGCGATTTTTATGTTGACGAAATATTACTGGTTTGGGATTAATGCAGGCAGTTTCGTTGTTCGGGTCGAGCCTTAAATACCTACTTTTTCGTGTCGACCGAACGGCTTTCCTTTATCGGTAAGGGCAGGAGATTATAGAAAAGTAGTATCGCGAATAGCGGAACTCTGCCAGCAAAAGAACATTGAACGCTGAACGGTATGCATGTATATACTTACATATGGCGAATATAGAGTCAGGGAAGGAGGAAGTAGGTTTGCTTGCGGTATGTTCTTTGAATTCCGCTGTGCGCTATATGCATCTAAAATTTTTTTAAGGCTCCGCTTACGTCATGATTAAACTACTGATTTTATGTGCTTATAGCGTTCACGCCTTTCTATAGTTGTATCATTCAGATCAGTTCAAAGTTTCATGAATTGTGACAATCCTTTTCATTTCATTTGGAACTTAATCAAATTTATAGAGAATAGAATTGTTTCTTATGTTAGATTGCATAAATTAGCTGACGAAAGGGTGAAAACGAAATATTTTAAAGAAATAGATTATCGAGGAATCTCTAGGTCAATGAATAATATCAAATGTCATAGGGATAACTTTTAGAGTAAATATTCCTTGTTATAGATAATAGTTGACACCTAACATTCAAACTGACAAGAAAAAATTAGATATTTTATTTTAAAAAATTAAATTTTTGAGATTTTCTTCAAATTTCAATCTGTGAAATAATTATTTTCATGATATTATATTCTTCGCGCAATCATATAACTTTCATCATTTATTTTCACTTCTTGGTGCACACGTTTCAATTTCTAATCAATGCCCCAATAACAAACACAAAAATAAACCAATTCTAGGTTACGTTCATAATAAAGTCTGTCAATAGTTATTAAGTAAGAAAAAATATTTCTTTATTAAAATACAATATTTTGTTTTGTAACAGAAAATATTAAACTGATGTTCCATATCACGTAATAGTTAAAAAGACACCGTGACTCCTCGCATACCGTTAAATCAAAATCCACAGAAACATTAGAAAACCAATTAATAATCTATGCAACTACCCAATACCAAAGGGATTAATAAACAAAAACCAGAAAAGGACCAATTCTTCGAAACCACCAAGATAAGTGATCACTCCATAACCATGCCAGTAATATATA